AATGTGCAAAATGATCACCTGCAAGTGTGGCTGCTGCAAGCCCAGCGGCAGTGTAGGGGTCAGTTCCAGGGGGGGCAGCATTAATGATGTAAGGGTTTGGCACAAATGCAGGAGCAAGGCCGGCTGCGTGATAAGAAACAGTAACACAAATAAAATTTGCTTATCAAATTTTATTCAAAAGGCTACGCAACTGAACGAGACAGCCCACAAAAGTTGCAGCATAATGCGTGAAACAACGCTGCTCACTCAGCTGGACCATCTTACCAAGATGCTGCTGCTGAGATGCAGCCAGAGCATACTGTTGTTGCTGAGCTGCCGTTAGCTGCTGAACAGTCAGGGCATTGGATCTCTGGAACAACTGGAGAAAAACAGAATTTAAAAAAATAAGGCACACGGACAGTTGGATTTTACAAATATAATTCATGTTTCAACTGACCTGCTGCTGCTGAGAACTGTAGTCAAACAATCCTACAGGAGTTCCTGAGGAGTCCACCTGGATCTGATTCCCAGCATAGTCAAACTGTAAAGACTCCACACCAGTTGGCTGCTCCATACCACCCATGTTCTGGGCCTCCTGGCTATGGAAGTCTTCAGTTGGAATCTTATTTTGGGCAGGATTTTGTTGTTGGAGGACATGATGGTGGTGAGTTCCCATCATCTCCAAACCAGTTTGACTGGGACCCATCCTTTCCACGGCTTCAGTGGGGGAAGCTTGACGGCTTCCTGGAGTCAGGCTGCAAAGATCAAATAGGAAAGCACATGCATGTTCTGTTGCATCTGAACAAATCTTTGCCTCAGCAAACAGAAACAAAATGATGTTTTAACTGAAAGTCAACAAAAATTTAAAGTATTTCCATCATATAAACAAGTTTTCCTGTAGCGAGTAATAATTAAAAAAATATATAAAATTTTAAACCAAGAAATCATTTTGAAATGCACATTATCTCTGAACAAATTACAACCAGTGGTGTATTCCTTTGAAAGAACGTGGCCCCGTGAGTTATTTGGGTATGAGCTAGTTGCTTCAACAGAGTGGATTAGATAAGTCCTAATCAGTTTTTAAATGTGTATACAGACCTACGTTCTAAAACATTTTATTTTTCATATTGTACATCCTGTCAGTGCCTCACAAGTGAAAACAATCTTGATACGATTTTGTTCTGCCACCCATTGTGATTTTATTTAGTTACAAAGAGAAAAAGCAACTTATCAGATGAACGACAGGTTTTGATAAAAAATTAAAATTAGAATTAGGTGCGTTTCTGAAAATATCACAGCAAATACCCCCATCAGGTAATAGTAACTGTTAGTTTTGCATCGTCCTGATGCATGCTCATGTTAGTTTTGTACTAAAACAGCATTTCCACCATTGGGTCAAGCAGAATGTGGATTTGATATTTAATTACCGGTAAATGTTTTTCTTCCAAGAACGGCAATTTTAAATGCAAAACTTTCATTTGGTTGGTTTTCGATCCCATAAAATGTAGAAAACTTACTTAAAATCTTTGCAGTCTCTATCCATGCCATTTAGCAGACCTCTTCCATTGGCCTTAGTAGGATCACCATCCTCTCCAACCTTCATCTCTGGGCTTTTGTCTTCTTCAAAAGGAGACGCCTTCCCTTGTACATCAGTCTTGTCTCTCCCATCGTGGTCAGGATCTCCTCCACCCTTAACACATAAATCAAAAAGTTGTTAGAATCATCAAACTGCATAACTGTGTCATGATAAACAAAACAACCATCTTACTGTTGTAGTTACAAAGTACATAGCTGAGCTGACTTACAAAGCCACCGTTCCTGTAGCGCCCATCCATTTTGTCACCAGGAGAAGAGCTCAGGACATATTCCACCATGCTCACCCCGAGGCCTCCACCTTCTGACCGAGGTGAAAGCACGGAGTTAGCATCACCGTTTCCATGGAAACTCTGGCCTGGTCGCCGTTGTACCATGATTGGCTGAGACACTGAATGATCTTTAAAAAAAAAAGGTTTAAATCAAATACATTGTCAATTTGTCCTTCTTGCAGTTCTTGTTACTAAAAGTATGTGATCATAAAAGCTTTGAAATTGGTAATAACAGGCAAACTAGACAAACACATTTGACAGAATGAATGCAAAAACTAATTTGTTTTTCATATGTGATCGGTTTTTGAATTGCATTCGTTCAAAATGTTGCCATCCACTCAAACCAAAGTGCTTTTTCTATAACAAGGAGGCTTTGAAAAGGTTCTTTAAGAAGCCCCAAAGAATACACTGCAAAGAAACGCTGCACACATTGTAAACAAATCATCAAATTTATAAAGCTACTAGCATGTCCAACTGGGAAGAGGCTTCGAGGAAGACCCAGGACATGCTGGAGAGAGCCTGGGAATGCCTTTGGGTCCTCCAAAAAGAGCCAGAAGAGGTGGCTGTGGAAAGAGATTTCTGTGCCTCCCTACGTGTCCCCGCAACCCAACTCCCAAACAGACGGAATAGAGGGCTAGATATAAAACTACTTAAAACTTTTAAAGCTCCTATTAATATCAAAACATTAACTTCTATTATTTGTCTTGTTGACACCCCCTAACCTGATCATGCTTAGTAATTTGCATAAAAATACATATCGGTATATTAAAAGAAAATATAAAGTAGCCACTCACAAGATGATCCCCAGGCACTGTCCCGCCACTCTTCACCAAGAAGCATCCCTTTCCTTCCATCCTTGGCCAGCTCATCTGAATCCCAGATCTTTTTTGCTGGTAAAAGCTAAAAGACACAACAAATTCCCAACAATTTGAAATCAGATGCAAAACCAAGTGTAAATAAACAGGAACAAAAACAAAGAAGCTAAAACTATGAGCATTTATTCCAAACCGTTAGAAGCGTCATCGTTTGGAGCAAAACACTTTTGCAACTGTGCGTTTGCACACTCGGGGCTGAGAGTTTGGAGCGAGCAGAAAAACATGATTTGAACTGAATTTGAAATGCCTCACCTCTCCCATCCCTCTCGACTCTAAGGCAAGAGCTTGAAAGTCATAATTCATTTCATCCACAGCTCGAACCTAAGACACAGATACAAAAGGTGTTGTCAGAAATCAGTTTTAAAAATCACCTAAACAAAAAAGCTGACTTTTCATTGCCATTATTACGTTATATACCAAGAGGTTCATATAATTTAAACTCTCAACTGGGTAATAATTTGTTATCATTAACATTTAAAAAAAAGTTTTCAAACAGATGGTTTTGATTGTGTGAGCATAGGATTCAGAAGGAAGTCTGAAAAGAAAAATACACATTTATATTACTTTTCAGTGTTTGTCATAAAGAAAATCCAAATCATGCTTCTACAAACTCAAAATTTGTAAGAAGGGATTTTGATACAATACTTGAAAATCTATTTGGTTGTATTAAAGTAAATAGCTTATTCAAAAACAAATTAAAACCCAAATATTTCTCTGTGACCATTATAACCCTTTGTCTTAAAGCTACCAGCTGCAACTGTCAAACAAAACTTTCCATTTGGGGCCCTTTTGTGGAGAATTTATGAGAACTACAAGTTAGACAAGGTAGGGTTGTTGCTACAGGAATACAAAGAAGATCAAATGTTATCCAGGAAGTCCAGCCTGAAATTAAAAACATAGGTCTGAGGAGTTATCTGATGCCAAAAGACAAGACACCAGCTTATATATACTGTAAAACAGGATATTACAACTCTGTTTCAGTTATTGTGGTGAGTCACCCACTGCGCTGTTCTGACAAAACGTCAGTGTGAGCTGGGAACAAGCCGAACACAAGTCCACTGCTTTCTTGTTGAGTAGTTTTAATTTATGAGAACCAAGATATCAGACGCTGCAGTCTTTAAAAATCAGCATCTAAACTGAAAATCACTGAAATGCCCCCTCTTCTAATAAATGTCTTTTTACCTGATCAACATGATTAGCATCTCCAGTTGGCCAGCGGTGTTTATTGGGTGCGCAACCAACAAGCTGCTCTCCAGGCTGCCTCTGAAAGAAGTATCCGACTGTGGCGTCATCCTGAGATCTTCCACTCAGTGGGGGCTGCGGCGTACCTGGGGCAGGGTTAGAACCTCTATCCATGCCCTGTAAATGTGGTCCTCCAGGAGCCTGCCCAGTTCCCCCAACTGCGGTGAGGGGTACGCCGGCATGAACTCGGACACCCCCAGACTCGGGAGCACCGTTTGCATGCAGCATCCCACCTCTTGTCTCCTGCCAGGCCACGTCATTCATACCTAGGATGCTGCATGGAATGCTCATTCCACGGGAAAGCCTAAACAAAACATTAGATCATAACAATTAAAAAAGTGTTTTTGCAACCTGATTTACAATGTGTGCCTCCTCCTTCTGCAATGGCTTAATGGAATCAACTTATCTTGAGTTGCTTAACTACATGAAGTCCTATATGAAGTTAAAAAGATGCAAATGCTGTTGGAAACTGGTTGAAAATAATTTTCAACATTAAGGAATATAGCATTTAAAGTAATTTACTATACTAGAAAATATAATAGGTACATTTGTCACGTGTGTGTGTGTGTGTGTGTATATATGGCTAAGTCTTATTCCCCTTATTCAGGGGTCAGCAACCTTTACAATCAAAAACTCAATTTCTGCCCTCGCCATGCCCCCAAATAAATAAAAGTTTTTAAAAAAATTGAGCAACAAAACTTGTTTCAAGACTGAAATAAAAATACAATTTTAAATAATGTAACTTACATAGAACATATAAAAATATTGTTACATTCTGAAATTAAATACTCGTAAAATACATTGTTGAAGACTGGAAAGGCCAAACCCTTATTAAGGGTAAAACATCTGAGATTCCACTTTGATAAAAGTTTAACCACAAAATTAAAGAGGCAAATAAAGCATATATTTGCATCCTGATAAAGTACTTGAGTGAACATAAAACTTAGAACAGTTTTAATAGATATTAATGAACCACTGAATACTCTCCAATAACAATGGCTTCATTTACTTAACTTAAAATTTTCCTCATTGCTCTCAAAATGACTTTGTTTTTGCAGAACACCTAATTCAAGTAACTTGTAACATAATATGTATGAAAAACTACACTTTGAGTCTCGTAAATGTGTTAAACGCGTAATATTTTTGTGAATTTCAATGAAAGACCAGACTGCATGACAGACAGTTAAATAATTAAGAGACCAACATAATAATAGGGTAAACTTGTATTTTTTTTCCCACTTATCTTAATAGTACTATTGTGTTATGAACATTTAATTCACATATTCCAGAAAACTCAAGAAGAGAAACTGATACAATTAGCTTTTTCCTTTTGGTATAAATATATATTGTATTAATTCCATGTTCTGGGTCAAAAGAAGCCAAATCCTGGCTTATTTTTTCCCTTCAAACAGGTAAAACTGCATTTTAAAATCTGCTAACTCAAAACTGCAGCGGCTCATTTTATAGTCTATTAGATTAATCTTCTTTACAATGGGATATTTACTTTACGTGGAAAGCCTAATCTATCAATTTCCTGACATGTAAACGATAACAAGCGACTGGTAAAGATCAAGAGCACCACCATGTTAGCCAAATGCTAGCTTGTTATCGCCAAGCTAGCATTTGGCTACTGCTAATATTGAGTTTTCCGGGGGGGCAAAAAAAACAATAAAAATGTAATTAAACATCAAAACATCGACCTGCGAGAAAATTATATTAAAAAAATGATAACGAATAGCAACGCTTTAATGAAAAAATAAATAAAATCAAAGTACTCTAGGAAACTGGCTAGCAAGACCCTAGCTAAAATGCGAGCTAATAATTTACCCGCATTGACTTGGTTTTTTCTACTTATATTAATTTTATCAAAGAGTAACAGTTTGTGGAAGGTAGTCATTAGTTTCACGTTCGCTTATAGTTTAAACAGACTCATACATCAGTTTCATAAGAGGAACTAATGTTACACACGGGAGTGTGCATTGGCAAATTTCGCGACTAACAAGCTAACGCTAATGGCAGCGGGCCTAGTGTTTATTATTGGTTTTGTTCGTTGGACATCAGAGTAAAATTCGTTTCATTCGCCTCTGTCAATATGTAAACTAAATTACTTCCATGGCTCACGCGAAAACGACGTTTCCTTGACACGATATCAACGAGGCGTGTGCGTTTATGTTTAAAAACACATTTTCTGTGTGCGGGCAAGCCAGAATAAACCATGACAGCTAACGTTTGGAGCTAATTGCCAACTCGCTGTTGTCGGAGCTTAAAAACATCAGCCAAACACTCAGCGGCTAAACAACATGGCCCCCCTCAAGTCCCTAACAAGAGGGGCCTTAACCGCTAAACAAAAGGGAAATACCCACACCACGGCAACCGCCTTTAAAGCAGTCGCTTTACGGGGCTTGTGTTTATTTTTTTAATTACGAACTACAAGGAAATACTCACGCCTTGTCGTGTCGATGGAGGCTCTGCGCTACTTGCACGCCGTCAACCCTATTCAATATTGTTTTGTTGCCTTGGAGAGAGCGGCGATTTAGCAACGCTTTGCTCTATGCTAAGAGTTTACCCACCAGACTCATGCCCCCTCCCTGCAAGAAGCGTGAATGACGTATCCATGTATGTAAGGCAAGTCGATTTGGCATATAATATATCTTCTAAGCCGATGGCCATGATCAGGGGTCTGCAATCTACGGCTCTGGAGCCACATGTGGCTCTTTGGTCCCTCCACAGCGGCTCTTTCAAGCTTTGACCAAAACTAACGTAAAACTGAATTTTATAGGGTGCTATACCCACAACAAAAAAATGACTAGTTTTAGCAGTTTTCCTGTCATTTCCTTTGTGGATACTAGTACTAATACGCATAGTAAATTATACTCCCTTTAACTTTATGCTTTATTTCTTCAAAGTAGAATACTCAATTTCTCCACAATTAACAAATAAAACATATAAGCCTGCACAGTTCATTGTTTTAGTTTTAAAAAATTGATAAAATAACATATATATATATATATATATATATATATATATATATA